GTCAGTCAAAGCCACGAGGTTCCCCCGTTCTGCCCCAATAATTATGACTTTGCTCTGTGGAGGCAAGGTCTGCACACGCCTTGCTTTCCATTAGAGACTCAACCCTAGGCATAATCCCTGACATGTGGTGAGTGTTACACTGATACTTGATGAATGAATGAACAGCTGGGGCCCTGAGAATATTCCAACCATACCTCGAGTCTCCAGACACGGAGGCAACAGCTTTGAGCCTTCAAAGCCCACCCTCACGTTTTCTCCGAAGTAGAGATTCTCTTTCTTCTGATCCATGACAAACTAGGTCTTCGAAACATGACAAGGTGATCCGGCTAGTTAAAAACAGGAAAATCAGTGCCTCGCACCTTGCCTGGACTATAACTATACCCTACTAATGCAATATCCTCCCACTCTACCCTGCCGCTTCCGTCTACTGTCCACGCAGTGACCAGAGAGCCTGTTAAAACTCACACTTGATCCTGTCCCTCTTCTGCTCAAGACCCTCCACTGGCCCCCATCACTGAGTACAAATCCATACAGTGACCTACAAGGCCCCCCCCCCCCGCAATCTGGTCCTGCTCCCTCCCCACCTTCTCCTCCTCTCCTTAACACCCTCTCCGCTCTAGCACACTGGACTCCCTGCTGTTCCTCCTACCCCAGGACATTAGCACTTGCTCGTCCATCTGCCTGGAATGTCCTCCCCACATGCCCATGGCTACTCCCTCACTCTCTCATGAGGGCTTCTCTGGTTGCCCTTGATAACGTGGAACGGCCCCAAACTGCTTATCCTCTTCTTTGTTTCTTTTTTCTCCTTAGGACATACCCCTCACATGCCTATATTTAATCCATTTTCTTTAATGTATGTCTTGCCCCCTAAAATTGAAGCTCCAGGAAAGCAGAGATATTTATGTTTTGTTCACTGCAATATCCTTAGAGCCTAGGACAGCACCTGTCACATAAGTGTCCCATAAATATGTGCTGATTTAATTAAGTGCTTGGTGAATGAACTCAAATGGGGTCTCCTGAGAGCCAAGACAAGTCACTTTCTTTATCTGGGGTCTTCTCTAGGGACATTTGGAGGATGTCCCCAAATCTCTAAGATCTCTTTCACCTCTGACAACCATTACCTCCAAACAAACATCAAGATTTTGACTACTCATCTAGACTTTTTTTTTTTCCTTTGAAATGTGCTCTAAAGCATGCTGGCCTTTAGCTCCACCACACTCAAAGTCACCCTGGGGATTTCTTCCTGCGTTAACAGCCCCAGAGCCATCTGTGTGGAAGGTTACAGGCGGCTGCCAGTTCTTTGACACTCTGCACTGAGAGATGGAGTCTGCTTCCCTCCCCTTGAATTGCTGGCCCCAGGACTTGCTTTGACCAACAGAATGTAATGTAAGCAACATTGTCTGAGTTCCGTTCATGGAACCCAGTCCCTGTGGTGTAAGAAGCCCGAGTGACACGGAGGGGCCACATGGGGGAGAATGAGGTGTTCCTGCCCTCCCCCTCTGCTGGGCTCCCAGCCAAAGGCCACACCCACTGGCAGCCACATGTGGGAGCCGCCTGGGATGCCCCAACCCAGTTGAGACCCCAGATGACGGCAGCCCCAGCTCTTGCCACAGAGAGAAAAGAATGGCCCAGCTGAGCCCACGACATCGTAAGAGGTAAGTCATGGTGGTTGTGTTAAGCCACTATATTTCGGGTGACCTGTTACGCACTCAAAAACAATCAAATGCCCTGGTCTGTTGGGGCTGCTATACCAGAATACCGTAATTTCATAATTCTGGATGGCTTAAACAGTAAAAATACATTTCTCACAGTGCTGGAGTCTGCGAAGTCCAAGATTAAGACACTGACGGGTTCAGTGTCCGAGGAGGATCCGCTCCCCCGTTCATAGATGGCATCTTTACTCTGTGTCTTCACAGATGGAGAGGGGAGGGAGCTCTCGGGGTCTCCCTGATAAGGGCACTAATCCCATCCATCAGGCTCCACCCTCGAGACCTAATCACCTCCCAAAGGTCCCACCTCATAATACCATCACAATGGGGGGGTTAGGATTTCAACATATGGGTTTGGGGTGGGGAGTGTAGACAAACATTCAGTCTATAGCATCAAACAATCTCTAAAACACATACAAAAACATATTCCTGGGGGATGATGACAAATAAACAAAACCTCCTGAGGAGTTTTTGCCTTTTGTTTTTACTTAAATTTTTAAAACACTGATGCCAGACCCAATCCTAGACCAGTCAGTCAAAGTCTCCGGGTGTGGGCCGGGGCACAGGTCGGGGGGGGGTTGGTTGGGGAGCTTCATAAAACACCTGGCTGGCCGGCCACTAGAGGCAACATGATCTCTCACAGTTCCGTCGCTTAGCAGTGCCCTTCCCTCTGTCTAAAACACCCTTCCCTAATGCTCCAGGCTAGCAAACTCCCACTGACTCATCGTGTGCATCCCAGCCCCAGCATTGCTGGAAACCACACAAGCTTTGGATTCAGGTAGACGTGGGTCACAGTCCTGCCACCAATTCGCTATGTGAACTTGGGTGAAGTACTTTGGGTTTCCAAACCTCAGTGTCTTCATCCATGAAATGGAGCTAATTCCAGGGGGGATTATGTGGGGCTATTTGTGCCAGGCATCCGGCACAGTGCTGGGTCCTTAGCATGAACTCGATCAACACAAGAGAGTAGTAGTGGTGGGGAGGAGTCCTTGTCGTTGCAGCAGACAGAGTAGTGACACGAGTAATAGTCCGTAGCAACAGAAGAAATGTGCTGGTCTGCCCTGCACCCTATCCCCTTTCTAGAATAATCTTGCTCCTTCCAGCAGGTGGCTTCCAATGGCAAAGGCCCCAGCTAATCAGAGGATGATTCTCATCAGCTGGGCTCAGTGCTTGGTGGAGGCCCCTGGCCCAAGCCAGTCAGTCAAACTCCTCCCGGGATATACCAGAGCTACCAAGAGAGGTGAGCAGTGTCATGGGCCCACACACTCAACGCCAAGGCTTCTAGTATGCTCGTGTGAGGTGCCCGCTTCAGAAGAAGCCAAGTGGATGTCAGCAGAGGCAAAAGATAAGATAGGGAGAGAGAGAGAGAGAGGCAGAAGGGAGGGAGGGAGGGAAGGAGATAAAGTGAGGAGAGGAGGGAGGCAGGGGGAGAGACAGAGGGCGGGAGACAAAGACGGAGGCAGAGAGAGGCCTGATGATGTTACTCCAGCCCCCTGGGACCACCAGCCTGAAACTAGAGGCAACTCAACTGAGATCCCCCCACCCCTCCCCCCATCTTTAAACTTTTGCTACTTTGGACTGGGACCTTGTCACCTGCCACCAAATGAGGGCCATAAATACGTTGTTACTATTGTTGCGCAAGGATCATTTTCGGAAAGTTAAAGCCACGACCTCATGCAAATATATGGCGAGCCATGTTGGGGGCTGACTTAACTCAGGAGCGAGGGAAGCGGCAGGATGGGAAGTGGGTTCAGGGGAGGACACAGGAGACTGAAGTTGATAAGGTTAATGAAAGGAAGAAAAACTGTTGAGGCCGACACGAAAGGGTTACTGCCCTATAAGGCAGTACGATGCTCACATTTGGGGCTACATTTTCTTCCAGATGTAAATCATTCTCATCTCTATGGGACAAAAGTCATCGGTAACTTACTAATACTCTGTAAGTTAACATCTCGCCCGAAGAGTCTAGGCCCTAATAGTAAATAGCAAGTCAAACACAACGATCTTTCTCTAGAGCAGTAAACTGCTATGGCCTATATGGGCCGAATACACCCCCGCTTGTTTATATAAATAGAGTTTTGTGTTTTTTTTAAAGATTTTATTTATTTATTTGAGAGAGAGAATGAGAGACAGAGAGCACGAGAGGGAAGAGGGTAAGAGGGAGAAGCAGACCCCCCACTGATCAGGGAGCCTGATGTGGGACTCGATCCCGGGACTCCAGGATCATGAGCTGAGCCGAAGGCAGTCGCTTAACCAACTGAGCCACCCAGGCGCCCTATAAATAGAGTTTTATTAGAACACGGTCATGCCCATGTGTTTACATGTTATCTGTGGCTGATTTCCTGCTGGAACAGCAGAACTGAGTAGCTGCAACAGAGACCCTCCGACCCACAAAGTTTAAAATCATTACTATCACATCTTTTCCAGGAAAGTTTCCTGAACTTTGGCCTAGAACTGTGGTTCTCAAAGTGTGGTCCCCGAACCATGAGCAACAGCAGTGGGGCATTGTTAGAAATGTAAATACTCGAGCTCCCTCCAGATTCAGACCCACTGAATCAAAAACTCCAAAAGCAGGCTCTCTAGGGTTCTAATGCCTTTAAGAGTCAGGTGACCTTTGGGCAGATTTGAGGACGTTGCTAGTAGCCTGATGTGACATCTGAAGGGCATTCAGTGTTCCGAGTTCAGAAAAATTTTTCCTTTTTTTTTTCCCCGAGATTTATTTATTTATTTTAGAGAGCGAGAGAGAATGTGAGCCGTGGAAGGGGCAGAGGGAGAGGGAGAGAGAATCTCAAGCAGACTCTGTGCTAAGCACAGAGCCCGAGGTGGGGCTTGATCCCAGGACCCTGAGATCATGACCTGAGCTGAAACCAGGGATCAGACCCTTAACCAACTGCACCACCCAGGCACCCCTAGAATAATTTTTCTTTAAAAAAGCATATGGGGAAAAATGGTGGGAGGTAAGATTGGGGAGCTAGGCAGATGGCAGATCATGCTAAGGCAGGAAGTTAAACTATTGTCCTGCACTGAAGGCTTTGGCACAGGAATGGTGATCAGATTTTCATTTTAGAAAGGTACTTCAGGCATCGGCGTGTAAACCAGTGGGGGTAGGGGCGGGAAGGTAGTGAGGCTAGAGGAACACAAAAAGATGGGAGGACTTGTAGCTAGTTAAGAGCCTATAAACAAATCCCAGGCTGGAGATACTTTGTGAACTCCTGGATACAGCCATACCTGAAGCTAGAGAAAATTCATAGACTTCCCAATTAGGCCATCCTGAACAGGAGGCTGGAGAGAAGCTGGGTAACAGGGAGAACTGGAAGATACTGAAGTGATGAAGTCCAACCACTGATGTGCAAGGTGAGAGATAGGCAACGTTATCCTAATGCCATATTTTTGATTTGTTGGACTGGGTATACGGCGCAGCCCAGGAGGAGGTGTTTAACTGCATGTAGAACCTCTCTGGTTGCTTTCAGAATGACGGGAGAGAGAAACATAAGCCAAGGGAATGACAGTGTTCCTCTCGAGGCACAGTATACATGCCTTGTCTTACTCTTTATTTCCACCAACACACCCTTGTGAACACCGTAGCACAAGTTAAGAACACCCCTCTACTGGCAATAGCCTGGTGGCTGAGGGCACCTCGCTTCTGAGTTCAATGCTCCTAGGCTTCAATTCTAGCTCCGCCTCCACAACAAGCAATTTCAACTGACTCAGTCCTTGCTTCTTCATCTGTAATTTTGTGACAGCAAGATGAAACTCCAGCACAGCGGTGAAGAACACATATTGAGAGGTTGAATGCAAACTGCTTTGCCAAGTGCGCCTGGTATGCGTTAAGTGTCCTGTCAGAGGTGGGTGTTAGGATGATCATTCTGGGAATTCCAAACAGACAAACATTTTTTGACTAACTGCTTGTGACATGGGTTGTTTCTTTCCAATTTAAGATGCTTTTTTTTTTAAAAAAAAAGGAAGTTTAAAAAATAATAAAAGCCTAATTACCACTTATAGGTAATTACTGTGCTCTGCTTGCTCTAGGATTAAATAAAAGTGATTTGTATATAAGATAATATTGCTCCGGTTAGCATTACTGATATTAGTTATACAATAATTTTGACTTTAACTTCATGGGTAGATTCTGGGGATGGTGGCCTCCCAGGAGAGGGAGAGGGGTGCCCCACCACCTGCCATTGCTGTCCCTGCTAATGCTGTGACCTCAGATTAATGGGAAGAAGAATCAGAGGCAGGAGACTGAGGCTCCATCCTGCTTTTAAAAATCCAGTTTGTTCTAATTCTTTCCAATCATAAAGGCAATTCAAGCTCAATATGGTAAACAGGGTAAGCAAAGTAGAAAGAAGAAAAACCTCATTTCTCTTCAAAAACAAACGCTGTTTGCTTTTTGGTATATAACCTCCAAACCTTTTTTAAAATATATATTTTTTAACATAATAAAATTTCATTGAGTTCAATGATGCATAGAAAACATCCAAGACAGTGCCTGGCACTTAGCTACTGCTCAGGAAATAAGTGTTAACATTATTATTATTAGATATCTGATTTTGTATCCTGGCTGTTTCCATGCAACTATTTTTCCATTTTATTAAAAAGAAAAAAAAAAACACCTTGTGAACATTATTTTAAGCGCTTGTACAATATTCTGTCCTGTGCACATTTCCTGTATTTAAATTGCATTTACTCCTTCATTCTTCTGAATATTAATAAGCATCTTTCATGCTTAAGGTGGTCTCTACATTTCAAGTTATCACATTGTATTAGTCAGGGTTTTCCAGAGAAAAAGAGCCAATAGGGTGTATATATACAGAGACAGAAATTTTTTTTTTCTTTTTTCTTTTCTCTTCCACGCCCCGAGATAGACATTTATTTTTAGGAATTGGTTCATGTGATTGTGGAGGCTGGAAGTCCAAAAATCTGCAGGATAGCCTGGCAGGCTGGGGACCCTGGGGAGGGGCTGATGTTGCAGTTCAAGCCTGAAGACAATCTACTGGAGAATTCCCTCGTGCTCTGGGAAGTTTGGTCTTTGTTCTAGTAAAGGCCTTCACTTGATTGGATGAGCCCCATGCACACGATGGAGGGTGATCTGCTTTACTCCACTGTCAGCCAATTTACGTGTTAATCTCACCAAAAAACACTTCCACAGAAACAGAGTAATGTTTAACCAAATACCTGGACACTGCGGCTCAGCCAAGTTTACACATAAAAATTAACCCGCACAGACGCATTAACTAAATCAAGATTCTAGACCTGCAAAATTCAAAGCCAGACCTTGCAACATAGTAACCACATCAAACCACTGTCCTGGGTGGGGGTTGGGGGTGGGGGAATGTATCTTACAAAGTCAGCTGCCCATCTTCTTTGCTATTTTGTGGCATCTTTCCATGTAGGTGACGAGAAAATCACTCGATCATTGATTGTCAGAGTTGATGGGACACAGAAATCTTTCAGGCTTCCATTTCCCAAGGGGTAATGTGCTGACACACAGTCCCTGTTATTAGTAGAGCACAAAGGGGGAGGGGGCCGGGGGCAAACAAGCTTAGAAGATACTGGTTTAAGCAAAATTAGATGGGTATCTGATGGGCCTTTTGGAGGCTGTGATATACAAATGTGTAGCCTGGTGTGAATCTCCAAGAGGTGGGATTTGTCTCCAGGATTTCCCAAACCTTTCCTGACCAGAACTCCTTTATTAAAAAAGAAAAAAGGAAAAAAAGAAACAACAACTTTCAAAACCCGTGCGTGACTTTAGTCACTGACATAGATCTGACCTTCTCGTGGAGTATCAGCAAAATTCGAGTGTGCAAACAGAGTTCCTTTAGGTAGCTGCTTAGGGGACAAGGGTTCTGCAGGTCACACCGAGGGACACGAGTCTCCTCCAGCCATCTCCTCTTACGGCCCCAGAAGATTTGAGATGAGGTGCCTCGCCCGGGGGGGATGTGACTGAGCCAAAGCTAAAATCTGCCTTCCTGACTCACAGCCCACGCTCTGTGGACATCACAGGGATGAGATCTGTCCCATTCTACAAACAGGAGATACCGAGCGAAGCCTTGCTCCAGGCTCCCTCGTTAGGAACACTGGATTGGGATCCAGATCTCTTGACCCTCAGCCTGGAACAAAAAAAGGCCTACAGCTTAGAAGTTTAGAGCTGCCTATGGGACTTATGTATTTTTAGCGCCTTTCGATGACTGAAGGAGTGGGACTGCGGCCCCTGGGGAAGATGAGTCACTTCTGTGGCGTGCCTGGTCAAATGATTCCGCGGAGCCAGAAGAGGCTGGAGATCATTCAAAGGGCTGGGCCACACCAGAGCTTCCTGCCCACATCAGCAGGAAGCCCACAGACGAGGTTCACTTTCTCCAGGAGGCAGCAGGTGCGTGGCCCGGCCGAAGTTTGCTCCAAGACATTTTCCAGCCTTTGAAGCTGAAAGCTGCAGCTACCCCTAGCCTGGGTTGTGTGCTTAACCGGAGAGAAACCCCGGGGTTCAGGTTTTGGCCGGGGCAAACTGACACAAGTGTCATTGAATCGGCAGAGAATCGCAGCCTGGGAAGGCCTGTGGCTGGAGACAGGAGACAGACACCTCTAGAGAGAGTGGTCCTCAACTGAGCACGCATTACACTCACCAAGGAGGGTTGGTGAAAACACGAATTGCCAGGTCCAACCCCAGGAGGGGCTGACTCAGCAGATCTGGGGTGTTCCCTGTGATGGTGATGCTGCTGGTCCAGGGGACCACGGTTTGAGGAGCACTGCTCTAGGGTGCTCTTGGGAGGATGCCCTGAGGCACCTCCCCCCCAAGAGTTGCCGCCCCACAGGCCTAGAATGAATGCTGCCTCTACTCTCATCATTTTGTCCCCAGTTTTAGAACCCGAGCAGGGAGCTTTGTCTCCCAGCTCTCAACCTGGAACTATCTGGGACACCAAGCTCGGAACTCAGAGAACGGGCTGAATTATTGCTTTGATACTTTCACCAGCTCTATCGAGATAGAATGCCCATCACACAGAATTCGCCCCGTTGAAGTGTACAATTCAATGATTTTTTGTGGGCGCAGATATGTGCCGCCAGAACCACAATCGATTGTAGGACATTTTCATCACTGCGAGGAGGAAGCCGGTACCCATGAGCTATTGCTCCCTACCCCAGCCCTGAGCAACCCTTAACCTACCTCCTGGCTCTCTAAATTTGCCCATTCTGGCCCTTGTATTGTAGCCTGGATCAGAGCTTCATTCCTGTTCATGGCTGAGTAATATTTCGTTGTATGGTTAGAGCCCATTTTGTTTCTCCGTTCATCCAGTGCTGGGCTTTAGTTTCTGCGGTAAATAATTGATTGGCCTTTCGTTAAAATTCATGGAACTGTACACACTGAGTACATTTTACTGTATGTTAATTTTTAGGAAAAGGACCTAGGCACCTTCCACTTCCTGTCTCGGAACAGGTCTCCACTTCCTGTCTCGGAACAGCTGAGCCGCCAGGTGGGAAAGGCCAGGTGGGTGGTGGGCAGGGCCAGTGGGGGCCAGCCTCCCCTCCCAAGCCGGTGTGGAGTGGGGCCGTGCCCCTAAGAGACCCTGGCCAAGCCACCATGGGGAGCAGTAGAACCTCCTAGATGGGCCCCGGCCGCCCTCCTGGCCCACGGAGCTCTGAGCTACAACAAAGATGTCCTCGTGAGCCCTCAAGTCTGTGTGTCATTTGTTTTAGGGAGTTAGGTGATGGGGCAGCTGCGGCCCCTCCCTGTGGGGGGTCTGGCAGGGAATTCTCCCCGGCCAGCACTGTCCACACGCAGACAGCCGGCTCCCTCCTCTTACCCTTGCCCCACGTCCCTGCTCTCCACCATGACCCAGGCTTTGCTTCGAAAACAGGGGGCGGGTCACTTCCCTCCTCTGTCCAAGCCCTCTGTGACTTGCCCCAGCTCCCAAACCTCACCACTTCCTACCTCTCTCAGTGCCTTGGTCTCCCTCGCCCGCCACGCACACTCCCCATGCGGAGCTTTAAAAATAAGCAGCTTTGGGGTGCCTGGGTGGCTCAGTTGGTGAAGCATCTGCCTCCGGCTCAGGTCGTGATCACAAGGGTCTAGGATCAAGCCCTGCGTCGGGCTCCCTGCTCAGTGGGAAGCCTGATTCTCCCTCTCCCTCTCCCACTCCCCCTGCTTGTGTTCCCTCTCTCTGTCAAGTAAATAAACTTTTAAGAAAAAAAAAAATGAACAGCTTTCTTGAGATAGAGCTCGTATCTCAAAAAACTGACCCCTTTAAAGAGTAGAGTTCAGTGGGTTTTAGTGCATTCGGATCAGTGTGTCTGTGTCAGATCAAGCTGACCTGTGTTTGTTGGTCTTCGTCTTCCCACTGGGAGGTAAGGCCTTGGGGCTTGATGGCCTCCGTGTCCCCAGCCCCCCGCAGCGGTGCCTGGCGGGCACGGTGCGGAAGCCAAGTTGTTCGGGTGCACGGAGAAGGTGATCTCAAGGATGAGAACAGGTCCTTGAGATGACGGCCGGGCCTCGGCTGACCTGTGGGGAGGACTTTGTCCGTGTGGGGCTCCAAAGAGATGGGCCTGTGCCCCCAGTCTGCCTTCCACCCAGCCCCACACACACTTCCCTGTCTCTCGCCCACGGCCACCTCTGAGGCCGGAGACAGCTAAGAGCCTCCCTGCTTAGCCCCTGAGGTCACATATCTGCATCCTAGGGGGATCCTGGGGGGACACAATACCTCACCTGCAGACTCCGGATGGTGGTCATTCTCAAGTAGTTGAAGGAGTAGCAAGAGCCCGGGCTGGCCGAGCTGGGTGACGGTCCAGCTGCAGCCGTGGCAGGTGCCTCCGGCGGGTGCCTCACGCCTGCCACCCTCCCCCGAGTCTACCCCGGCCCGCAAGGTCTCCCGGACACGGAAGAGCCGGCTCAGGCTGCTCGGCGCAGTGCGCATGCACGGCGCAAAGGACTCTGGGAGCCGCCCTGGCCGAGGAGGCAAAGGCCGGTGGAAGCTCCCGCTCTCCTTCCCGGGGCAGACGTGCACGAACACATCCGCTGCTCCAACTCCCCGACCCTCTTCCAGCAACGGCGCCCGCTCTGCTTCGCACCCCCGAACTCGGGCGGCGCGGCCTGTGCGTGCGGGCGTCCCAGGGCGGCGCGCGGCAGACCCGCTCCCCGGCGCTCCAGGCTGTTAGGAGGCCGCTCGTCGCACTGGGGGCGCTGGCTCTGGGCGCCTTTGGCTGCCATGCGAGAGAACTGGGTAAGGTCACCGTGTGGAGAAACCAGAGGGACAGCAAAGGGGCGGGAGGAGGAGGGGGCGCTGGGGGAGGGGTGCTGGAGGAGCCCCATCGTGCAGGGGGCCCCGCTCGTACGTGAAGCCCAGGGCAGGGCTGCCTAGCGGACCCCAGGCAACCCCCGATGTGTCCGCAAGGTAAATGCTCATTCTTGCTCACAGCCCCTGCTTGCAGTGGTTTCTTCCTCAGCTGTAGATAAAGCTCCTCCTCCTCAGCCTTTCCTCCTTCCTGTCTCACTCCAGCTTCTTGGGGACCACCTCCCCATATAACTCACCTGCCTGGTCTGACGTTCTGGGTTCGAGAGAACCCAAGGCAAGATAAGCCCTGAGCAGCGGGGCAGGTAAGGTCATTCAACTTAGGGAAGATACTGTAACCCGAGCCTTGGATTCCTCACCCAGAAAATGGGAAGAGTGCCAATTCCAACCGAAGATTCTCCTGAGGTTGAAAGAAAGAATCCCGGTGAATTTAGCATCTGGTGGCCAGGGGCCTGTTTGGGGCAGCTCATCGGCTCAGAGGCAAATTCTGGTCCAGGTTCCAGGGGCAATGGGTGCGCCAGGGACCTCCCTACGTCCTTCCAATGATGAACTGCCAAAGGTGCGGGAAAGAGGTGTCCCAACTGTGACTGGGCTTGTCCGCTGGGGGGTGGGGGGGCTTGTGAACCCCCTGGGGGTCAGTGGGGCCACACTTTCTTCTTGGGCCCCGTGGGACAGAGAGCCAACTCTGTTCTTATAGAAATGTTACGCTATTTTCCTGATAAAGATAATAAACTGCTTGTCATAAGCTAGGTTTCCCCCTGGTTTCTGTTTTTCTTCTCTAATCAAATTACCCCAACTGACACAAATTTAAGCAAATAGCTTCACTTCAGGTCACAGGACTTCGTCCTGCAATCAAGGATTTGAATGAAATTCCTGGCAAAATACAGTAATTACAAACACCATGAAAGCTGCCTCGAAACGTCCCAGCCTCCCGCACTAAAAGGCAGTCTGGTTAATTTCCAAATTATATTTGGGCTTAACATGCAAAGGGCTCTTTTTCATTCGGGCAGAGAAAATAGGCCTGAAGATCATTACAATAACCACACAAGACTAGGAATGTAATTATAAAATGAACCATACCCTAGCAGGCAAATCATTTTAATGTGTTTTGAGAATTGAATATTCTGTATGGAATTAAAAACAAAGAAAAAAAATCAACGTGCAGAAAATTAATTAAAAATAGGTAAGACACAGAAAACCTTCGAGTGTCATAAAATTACAAATACGAAAGCAACAAATTAAAACACACGCACACACAATTACAGATTTTGGTAACATTAGTAGCCAGAACATACCCAACGAATTGCTTGATCGTCAAATATCTTACTAATTTTGAAAGGGTGGGGGTGGGGGCTGGTGGTGATGACTGACTTCAGTTGACCCCAAAGGATTCCAGTCTTCCTTCCACTGCAAGCAAACCGCTTTGAGAAGTGGAGCGCCTTTTCTCAAAGAAAACGGACACAGAAGGTTGATCCCCTCTGCCCCGTTCCACCATCACATTTGTACATTCATTGACCTCTTTTAACTAAGGCAACTGAAAGACAGTTTCTTGAGACCCCAACACACCCTCAGAAGAACAGAACATAAATTCTATTCCTGTTACAAAAGAGCGGAACTCACTTCCAAGCTGAGGGCAGTCATTCTGTAAAGTGCAGGATGGTTCGCTGTTAGAGACTTCGTGTTGAAGACGTCTTTAGGCGGGGTGGACGGGAGCGGATGGGGACCCGGGCAAGCCCTGGGTTGAGCAATGACCCGTATGAGAAAGGTGACACGTGGGTCAGTCCTCAGGGATGGTTTCACCTCTGTGCACACCGCTGAGGTAGGAGCTTCGGGAGAAATGCAGAATATCTTAAGGGAATGAGAATGTCTTCTTGGCAAATCAGTGCCCTCTTGCTCAGTTGGGGGCCTAAGGCAGTCATAGTCACAGGCCGGGCAGGGCCAGGTGGGCCACGCAGGACCTTACAGAATTCAAGAGTTGGATCAGATCGCAGCCACAGAGGAGAGCAAGATCCAAGACAAAGCCACTGGAGGTGGGCGAGGTCCCAGTGCTGACCCGGGGGGCACCTGCTGTCTAGTGCAAGCTCAAGGGGGTGGCGACGGGGGGGGGGGGGGGGGGGGGGGGGGGGGGGGGCAGGGGGTGGGGGCGACGTGAAGTGGAAAACCCCGGCAGCAACCTACAAAACGGTTATTAGCAAATGGTATCAAAAAGTATCAAAACATTTCAAAAAACTTTAAAAACTGCCAGGCTTGGCAGACGCACAGGGCAGGATCTCCGAGGGCCTGTGGAGCTGCCCTACACTCCAGAGGTTTATTCTGGGGGCCAGGATATGGCCCCCTCCCCGCCCCTCTGAAGACACTCGGAATCCATGGAGAGGCCAAGGATGGAACTGCCCCTCCAGGGGCAGGGCCAGTGGTCTGAGATTCCAGCCGAAAGCTCTGAGAGACAGAAGGCCCGGGAGGTACTCCTTCGGCAGCTGCTGGGCTAAGCCACATGCCATGGAGGACCAGGGTAAAGATGAAGCCTGACAACTCTACCAGGGGCTGGGGGTGGGGTTGGGGGATCTTTCACCTCCCACATTGCTGCAAACCACTGAAAGGTCACCTGGCTGAGGGGCCAGGTATTTGGAACCACAGGTTAACTCACCTGAGCTCACCGAGTGGGATCTTGGAGCTCAGAGGAGGAACTGGGACCCCACTCCCTTTGGCATTTCGGTCTCCACCCAAAACTGAACACCCCTTAGGGTTGGCTTCTGGGGTTTCCACTAAGTCACCATGAGGTCACCTTATCATTAAAGAGCAAGGGGAGGAGCATTCAGAATATAATTCACACACGAGGTTTTCTGCTCAGATCAAGATCTGAAAGTCCTACCAGGCAGTCTTTCTAAAATGCTAAAACGTTAACACTTAACATCGAAAACATTAAAAATACCGATTAAGCCATACGAACACACAACTTGCTAAGACAACCTCTATATTTAAACAGCAGGAAGAAGTAACCAGGACTCTTCAGCCTTCTATTCCCCTCCCTTCTAGCATGACAGTCACGTCTTAGGCAAACAAGGTTCCAACTTGGGTGAGGATCAAACTCAAAACATACAACTGACATGTAGTGAAAACTCTAGTTCTTTAAAAGTGAGAATAAAACCCAAAAAACCTGAATGAAAGCCCACTATGGGGCGCCTGGATGGCTCAGATGGTTAAGCGTCTGCCTTCGGCTCAGGTCATGATCTCAGGGTCCTGGGATCGAGTCCCGCATCGGGCTCCCTGCTCCTTGGGAACCTGCTTCTCCCTCTGCCTTTCTCTCTCGCTCTGTCTCTCATGAATAAAAAAAAAAAAAAAAAGAAAGCCCACTATGCTTATTTTGAAAGATCCAGAGAAACGATTCCGGTGTTCTCCAAGCGCTCATGGGCAGCAGGAGTGCTGCTGCCTCTCAAGATGGCAGCCCACAAGAGCCCAACCTTTGTCCCTGCGGTTGGAAACCACACCACTGTGATTCTGCCGCTCAGATGGCCACCTGCAGGAGTGCATCCCCAAGCTGACCACCCAACTGGGTTAAACAGCATCTTCTCCCATTCTCCGCTGGACGGCACAGCAGGGTGACTGCCATCTTAAGAACATCGGACAGCAGCTACCTGTCATGGGTCCCACCACCATGCTGCCCGGCGTCTGGGCAGATGCTGCCCACTGGTCGTTGACGCTCCTTTCCCTTGACACCGATAGGCTCAACAACCTTTCTTCACACAGGGAAACCACCACCAATCATGTGAAGCCAGCCCATGAGAAGAAACTGATCAACCTTACCTTTGAAAGAACACTCCCAACCCTAACAATATTGGAATCTAAACCCCGTAAATGAAAAGCCTGCCTTCAGAGTGGCAAGAGTGACACCACGAAGTATGAGGTGCAGGACACTGTACGGAACCCACAAGGCACAAGAGAGTTGAGTAGGGACCAGCACTGCACTCTTATCCAGGGACACGTCACGGTAGTCAAAAATAAGAGAGCTGGCTTAAGCTAAAAATTGACGTCTCTCCTCTTCCCAAGGTCAAAGCCATCCTGCTCCCCAAAGCACACATGGAATCTACGTGCTCTTCCCCACCTTCCCCTGGACTCTGGTTGAACCACCACCTCTTTATGACTGAGCACAGACCACATGTTCCATGCCTTCCAAAGGGTCCTCTAATAGTAATATCTTCCCTGGAATAGGAAGGGGCTAAGCTATCCCAAAGCTGGCAGAAGTTCTGCAAAACATTTTGTGGAGGGCTGGACAAGGTATGAGACAAAAAAAGGGTTTTGGGCTCAGTGAAGTTTGGAAACACTGGATTGATGGAAGGTTAACAGTTAATGTGGGACTTCCCAGAGACTTTAATACACTGAAGTACTGTGGAGCTCCATGAAGAGTGTACAGTTTTTGGTTTGATTGTTTGCATGCCTTGCAGAACCTCTCAACAGTCTGGAAGCCTCTAGGGACTTCCACATGCACGGAACTAGCCAAGTCAGCAGACCCCTTGCCCCACTAACGACAGAGGGCACCGATTTATGTACTGAAGCTTTCAACGCCCAAGCCACTCAAAATCACAGTAATCCTTTAAGGGAAAGGAAAAGAAGTACAGTAAAGAGATCTTTTTTTTTTTTTTTTTTAAAGGAAATAAGTTAACGGAGATTCATAGTCTAATACCAAGGTTAACAATAAATCTTGAGGTGTTCTCATCTCTGCAATCTGATCTTTGTCAAGGCAAAGATCGTGAACGCCTCCCTCGGCAAGCACGCTTCTCTTCCCATATCCTTGTGTCCACGGCAGCTGGGGCAGGGGTCCCCAGCTCACCTCCGAGGGCACACAGTTAGTGATACCTGCAGAAATCAGCGCGGGGCGGTCACACATCGCAAGAGGAGGTGCTGAACACACATTAATAGCTTATACGGACTGAAGGCACCGAGCCCTGGGAGGCAGTGATTTTGACCCACCGCGCGATGAATGAGGGAACAGCTAGGACTTGTTAAAGAATTTGCCCAGCAGCACAAAACGACTTCGCAGTGGACGGCTGAGTTGGGGAGGGGGTGGGTACCTGACATCCTCCTTAGGGAGCAAGATGTGCTCGGCTCACTCATGGAGGGGCTGTCGAGGGCTTCTTGGAGCCAAGCCAGAGAAAACAATGGCAAATTCTAGGATGGCCACTTTTTCTTTCCTGAGAAATGAACAGATTTTGGGGGCTCAGTATGTCAGTAACATAAGAAAACAGTGGGTTCAGGAAAAAAAAAGCACACATTACAGAAAAATGTTTGTTAAGAGTTTCATGCCTTTTTTTTTTTAAGTTTCTTGATTACCTGGACCCTTTTAGAATTCAGGAAGATTACCCATCAGGAAAACGGGACTACTCAGAAACAACAGTCACCAGATCAGGAAATCCTGGTGGGAACATCTCCCTGGTGAGAAGTCCCAGGTCTTGCCCTGTGGGGGGGCCTCGGAGTCCCCATTCATAAACATGAACGCACTTGACGTTGCCCATGATGGCCAAATGTGGACAGTGCTCAGTCATTCTGGAAATTGGTTCGTTTCCAGGCACCCCCTCTGCCCCTAGTCCTGGTAGTTTTAGAATGGATAATTCTGAGGTGGGGCCCAGGAATCCAACAGCTCAGCCAAGCTGAGAGAGGCATGGACTGGGGGATCCCAACTGTCCCCACCACGGCCCCTAGTTTCGCACAAAAATTTCTGCATAAGCCCTGCCCTAGGTACTTCAGGGGGGGCAGTGAGGTGGCATCCTCGGGGAGACTCAGAACGAGGGAAGAAGCCCTGCACAGAGATGAGGGGCTATTTTCTGCCTGGGCCCGGGTTTAATTATTCAAGCAAAATAATATGTAAAATTATACAGAATATTTAATCGGTTACTGTGATATCATAGAAATACCGAGAATCATAAAAGTAAAAAAAGCTGCTAAGAAGTCTATCATGGTTCCAGGATGCTACGAAGTTGTTGCTGGTCTAGACGCGCTGGCAGGTGGTGGCGGGGACCAGGTCCCCGCCAGGCGCAGGCAGGGG